TCTGCCATCCAGATCTGTGCTGCAATTACATACCAAGAGTCCCAGTCTTGCGTTATGATCCACACAGGTGAAGCAAAAGGTGAATGGGGCTCTGTGGGGGTGGAACAGTACACCCCACTGACCAAAATGCAGGATTGGGGTCTCCATCCCCCCCTAAGGCATTCAACTGCAGAATCTGATAAAACAGAGACCGAGCTGGGGGCACCTAGGCCATAGAATCATAGAATAATAGGACTGGAAGGGACCTCAAGAGGTCATCGAGTCCAGCCCCCCGCCCTCAAGGCAGGACCAAGCTCTGTCTACACCATCCCTGACAGATGTCTATCTAACCTGTTCTTAAATATCTCCAGAGAGGGAGATTCCACCACCTCCCTTGGCAATTTATTCCAATATTTGACCACCCTGACAGTTAGGAATTTTTTCCTAATGTCCAATCTAAACCTCCCCTGCTGCACTTTAAGCCCATTACTCCTTGTCCTGTCCTCAGAAACCAAGAGGAACAAATTTTCTCCTTCCTCCTTGTGACACCCTTTTAGATATTTGAAAACCGCTATCATGTCCCCCCTTAATCTTCTTTTTTCCAAACTAAACAAGCCCAGTTCATGAAGCCTGGCTTCATAGGTCATGTTCTCTAAACCTTTAATCATTCTTGTTGCTCTTCTCTGTACCCTTTCCAATTTCTCCACATCTTTCTTGAAATGTGGCGCCCAGAACTGGACACAGTACTCCAGCTGAGGCCTAACTAGTGCAGAGTAGAGCGGCAGAATGACTTCACGAGTTTTGCTTACAACACACCTGTTGATACAACCTAGAATCATATTTGCTTTTTTTGCAACAGCATCACACTGTTGACTCATATTCAACTTGTGGTCCACTATGACCCCTAGATCTCTTTCCGCCATGCTCCTTCCTAGACAGTCGCTTCCCATCTTGTATGTATGGAACTGATTGTTCCTTCCTAAGTGGAGCACTTTGCATTTCTCTTTATTAAACCTCATCCTGTTTACCTCTGACCATTTCTCTAACTTGCTAAGGTCATTTTGAATTATGTCCCTATCCTCCAAAGAAGTTGCAACCCCACCCAGTTTGGTATCATCTGCAAACTTAATAAGCGTACTCTCTATCCCAATATCTACATCATTGATGAAGATATTGAACAGTATGGGTCCCAAAACAGACCCTTGAGGAACTCCACTTGTTATCCCTTTCCAGCAGGATTTAGCACCGTTAACAACCACTCTCTGACTACGGTTATCCAGCCAATTATGCACCCATCTTATTGTGGCCCTATCTAAGTTATATTTGCCTAGTTTATCAATAAGAATATCATGCGAGACTGTATCAAATGCCTTACTAAAGTCTAGGTATATGACATCCACCGCTTCTCCCTTATCCACAAGGCTCGTTATCCTATCAAAGAAAGCTATCAGATTAGTTTGGCATGACTTGTTCTTCACAAACCCATGCTGGCTATTCCCTATCACTTTATTACCTTCCAAGTGTTTGCATATGATTTCCTTAATTACCTGCTCCATTATCTTCCCTGGGACAGACTAAACTGACCGGTCTGTAGTTTCCTGGGTTGTTCTTATTCCCCAGCGACATGAAGAATACTTATTCAATGCCCTCACAAAAGGAGAGAACAAAAATCCTCTTCAACATCAGCACCACCCCAAAAAAGACAGAAGCTAATCTTCCTGAAACTCCCCTGGCCCTTTCCCAGTTCTCTGTGAGCATCGCAGGCTGTTTTCCCCTTTCCTCAGTATGGTTCTGCTACTACAAAGACAGATAATTCACTCTGCGGGTGAAGCAATTCAAAAACTTCCAATCATGTGGAATACTTGGCTATTACTATGCAAAGACAAGCTGGATTAACAAGGCTACAAGCCACCATCTGGAACAGTTCAGCTGAGCCTCACTTTGCATTTGCCAGGGCTGAAGCGAAGAAGTCCTTCCTTCGCCTCCAGTACAGTCATGGCATAAAACTTCCAATATTTCTCCATCACAACCACTCAGACTCTGAATATGACTTCCTTCCACGGGCACACCAGCTGCCTTCCCATGCGTATTATGGTCAGGTCACCTGCATACTATGGTAATCTGTGAGGATGAAATAGGGAAGTGACTACTTGGAAGGTTATAATAATATTCTACCAGACAATTCATAGAATGTGGATAGCTACAAAACACCAATATTCCTCAGAATCATCTGATTGACCACACTTAGTCAAGACTTCTACTTTGTGTGTCAAAAAGACCTGCCCATAGCTTTAATCATGCTAGAAAATCTGTTTGGCTTTGAGTTTGTGATCTATTGAATCACCAATAGCATTTCCTGAAATACTTTAGTGTTACTTCTTGTGGGTGGAGGAGGGGGAACGCCAATCAATCTACAGTTGACCAGGCTGGACCCTGCTGTGCTCATGAGACCAGACAAGGCAACAGCTGGAGATAGTACAGGTTCAGTCTTCAGTGCTTGGAACCATGGAGTTCTTCACTCAGCTATTTCAATACAGTATGTGGCATGCCAGAGAACAAATGGTGGATACGTTTCCTTTGGCCGAACACAGAAGCATAGTGTGGAAGACAACCTACAGCAGCAAATCTTAAAAAGGAAGCAGTCTCAATGAATTGAAATTGACTGTCTTCAGTGGGTGGCCAAGAGTTGAAAGAAGGTAAGATGTCTGCCCCTACAAGGCTTCTTGAAAGAGATCTGTGACCCATTCTATGGCTAGATGAAGGTAGCAACCTTTCCCCCTCAGCTTGATAAAAGCAAGAAAAAAGCCCTATTAGCAAAAGCAGCTTCTAGCTTTAGAGGAGATTTCTGAAAAAAGTCAAATGCCTCAAGATGTGAAGTAAATGCGCTTCCATGCTGCAATCTTTTCTATTTACTTCTCAAATTGTATTTCCACGCCTCACTCCTCCTTGCTGTTACACAATGCTTCCAGATGCATGGTTATGCACACTGTCACCTTCTTGACAAGCTCCAAAGGAATTCAAGCTCTTAGTCTCTCCAAGCAACATAAACAGTTGTCAGTAAACAACTAGCTACTCTCCCTGCCAAAAGTAAATCCACACCAATATACTTATCCAGAAAACACATGCAAAGGAGCGGGGCAACAGTTTCCCCGCCATGTTAACCTCATTAATCCCAGATATTAAAGCAGTCCCTAGATGGGGTACTTTCTAAAGCATTCTAAAATTCAGAACATTGCATGTCCTTGAAAACTGACAGCTACTAAAATGCTAGATTTAACGTATGCTCACAGGATGTGAGATGTGACTTCTAAATTTCAGGCTAGAATGAAATGGATTCATGCTAGATTATACATGCAATATATCTGGAAACAGTTCTATAATCAATATATCATTATTCTTTCACAAGATGGTTCTAAACACTGAAAATCAATTACCCCAATGCCTCTAGCCAGCAGTGCATTTTGCATAAGCACCGTGTGTCAAGAAATCAGCTCCTCCGATCACCAGGACCAATGAATAAAGCATAGGACAGGGGTCGGCAACCTACGGCCAGATCTGTACACTGACCATACAGGACTGTCCCAATTTTAACCACCATTGCTCCTCACGTGGTGCAGCAGCCTCCTCTCTTTCCCCCAATGCCTCTAGCCAGCAGTGCATTTTGCATAAGCACCGTGTGTCAAGAAATCAGCTCCTCCGATCACCAGGACCAATGAATAAAGCATAGGACAGGGGTCGGCAACCTACGGCCAGATCTGTACACTGACCATACAGGACTGTCCCAATTTTAACCACCATTGCTCCTCACGTGGTGCAGCAGCCTCCTCTCTTTCTCCCCGCAGGGCAGCTGGGCAG